ACTGTATTTCTATTATTTTGGTATTTGTTATTGCGACTGGGTGATGTTATTGTCCTGTTCACATGGTGTGTTAACAATGCTAGGTATGAGACAGACAGAGTGTATATAGTTGGATTAACAAATAGGTAATACCTTTTTTCTGTCTCAACTTCCGTAATTGGTAAACATGTTACGTAATGACTCCTTTTATCAAAGAAGTCAAGATTCAAAAGTAAGAATATAGAAGGATATAATATTCTAAAAATAATACTTTCTTAGTACAAGGCTAGTCTGCATTATGATCATAGTTAGCCAAACCTGTCCTCTTCCCATCTCTTGAATTGCCTTTTGTAAGATTTGCTCACTATTTCCAGTTTCAATCAGGTGGTCAATCATCTACACAGGTTTCGAACAATCAGAAGAGATGATTTAAGACATATACACATATCAAACTGGTGACTGCGAGTTATTATCTCACTTCTTCATTCGGTTTGGTTCCAGTGACTGTTCAAATTAAAAGATTGGAAGTTAGAGCCTGTTAATGAGAAGGTTAAGTGCAATGTTAGCAAAAGAAGCAGAAACCTGTGAAGACCCTTCTCTCGACAACCTCTCTGTATTCATCTTGAATGGTTTTCCGGAGATTCTGTAAATGAAATTTTGTTACCGTAATGATAATTAGAATCTTGATCTTAAACACCAAAAATCAGCAGATTTTATTACCTGAAACTCATTCATTCTGTCCTTTAGTTTCTTTTTCAAGGCGCTGCAAGTGAAGTAATTATTATCTTTACAATCTTGGTTATTACATAAGAAATAAGTATGACCCATTATTATGAATAGAATTTATTGTAGTTTCTTACACAGTCATAGCCATTCTTGATCTGTCTACAGCTGTTCCCTTCTCGCATCCAGGCTTCTCTCTGTTTGATAAATTCTACATATGATAGCACTGGTAAGTGTTGCTAGAACATGAAACAAGACCGAATAACACAATATAGAGAAAAGAGTATTACATCTCTGTCAATTTCTTCGAGCTTTGTTTTAATGCTACGCGTAATTTTCATAACATCATTCACGTCTTTCTCCATACGCTGCTTGAGTGCTGTAAGAATTGTGACGTTTTCTTGGTCATTAGTATTTAGTAGCGGTAACCATGATTTAGATGAGGATGTTGATGAAAGTAAGCACCTTTCATTGCGGAGGCCTTGGTAACAGATTTAGTCTCCAAATTTGCTTCCTGTTATGATTGCAATTGATTAGTTTATTTGTATGATCATGGATAGCAGCCTTTCGTAGGTTTTAATTTTAATTTGGTAATAGTGATACAAAATCAACTTCCAAGTGGTAAACCAGTATAATATATGAATTCTCAAACATGGTCATAAAAAGGATCAAACATGATCATGAAAAGCTCTTAGTCCGATATTCAGATTATATAGTTCCCTCTACATACCTCAAGCTTCTTGAGCTGCTTGGAAAGTTTCTCCATCAGAGTCTCAACGTCTCCTACCTGATATTATAGAAAGAAAAAAAAAATACTATATCAGAAGAGGCTTGGTCATACAAGATAATTACCTGTAATGCATTCATGCAAAAATGTAAATTGGCAAGAACTGAAGGAGAAGCAGGTAACTCGTGCTAACTCTTCAGGATGAACAATTGTAATATATTATATATACCAATATATATGTAGTAAAATAGAAAACAGTGTACATTACCTTTTTTAAAAAACCTTCCATCCCATAGTCTGATTTATTTCTTGGAAGAGTTCCCAACTCAACATCCCTTTCCTTCTCAGCTGCATCCTTTCTAAATGAATCCTGCAACATAATGAATTAATGCAACAATACGCAAGTGGACAAAGCAACAATCCTGCAAGTACCTCTATATATATATATGTCAAGGCTTCTGTTAGCCAAATACGAAGATGCTATTTATGATATTGTGCAATTCGCGAGGTTTAATAATATAACATATGATAAGTTTATATCGCGATACATACATGAATTGTTTATTGGCGAACAATACCCCTGAAAGCTTTATATGACTTCGCATATCAATATTCATTGTTGGTTCATAGAAGGTTATTGTTGATGATCTATTGTTTTTTTTCTGAATACTAGTTGTAGCTTTGACTTGCATCTTAGACACTCAACCTACTTGCTACTGATCAAGTAAGGGAGTCGGGCTTTCTTTCTCTCCTTTTTTTAGCTAAAAGGTGGAGGAATTCAATCATGCGCCACTAAAAAAGATAATAATAAAAATGAGTCCAGGCGTTGATTGTGCTATAGGATTATAGTATCGCAGCATGTTAGCAATTGATCAATCTGACTGAGTTTACAGTTATGAAATAGCAACATACTAGATATTTTGTACTTAAAATATCATGAAAATCATAGTACTAGAGAATTCTGCAAGACGGAAGAAAGTTATTACCGCAAGAAGATCATTCATCTTGTTAGTCTGCGTCCGTGGGAGAGAGAGAGACAGAGGAGGGTAAGAGGAGGAAGAACTAGAGAAGAAGAAGATGAAGGAAATTAATTGGCTGGCCGGCTGGCGATAGGAGACTACCAATAAAGAGAGTAGACAGAGAGGAGGACAAAAGAATGAACACACAAAGGCAGTTATTGTCAGAACTAGAGCTCTTGTTGATTATGTGGCAACAATGATAATTCAAACCAAAGTTGTTGAATTTTGCTACCTGAGTGAAGCCGTTGTTCAAGCCTCACCTAGATTGAAATCTTTGTTCCTGTCACCTAGCAATACGTGTCACTTAGAAGTTAGAACATAGTTGAAAGGTTCAACGAATAGAAGTGGGTGGTGATATCATTGGAACCTTCGAATGGATTATGATATTCTTTATGATTTTTTTTGTCATTGCCAATCTAATATCCCCAGCTGTTGATTGTTTATGACAGTGGCATTTGGCTTTTGTTGTTGCAACATGCTATATTTCCTTTTTCTGCTCTGACCACATAATCGTTATTTTTCAAGGAGAGTTAAGTATCAGTGTATGAAAAATTTATGAGATTATACGGTACAAATCATGAATCGACCACACAATGTTCAATTTGCATATGCACAGCGGCAGGAAAGAGACATGGGAATGAGGAGATTAAGAGAAAATATAGGATAAAGCGGCACAAAAAGTTAACTAACGAGATACTCGTCAACTGAAGCTTTGACCAGAGGACTGATTTATTAGATTTGATGGACCAAATTAAAATTTGAAGGGTTCTTTTCTGAGGGATTTTCTCATCACAAAGAATGCAAAATGTCGTGATCTCGTTTCCTCTTTTAAAGTTTTCAATGTAATGTGCTGAAGATATGTAGTTTCTTGTAATGCAATAACTGTGCTCATTCACAGAATACCATCTACTACTTCAAAATTGATGTGAAAACCAGAAATCGTTCTTTCTGCCTGTAGTCATGCTGTTTGGTTGAAGAGCGCCATGTTGTTTTCTTGTTCACGCTCAAAGACAGAATTAAACCGTGTAAACTTGATCACTTTGAGCCAAGCTGAGCAATTTAAGGGGGTAGGAAAGTCCACTAGTAGCACATCATATCAAGCAGTTTCTCATATTTGGTGGACAGTGTTGAGTGTTTGTGGCGCTTGTGGTAATGCAAGGCTCGGGAAATTGCAGCTGGGTTCCTTTTGGGGAAGGAAACAGAGGATATAGAATTCCATGTTCTCTTGTCAATATTAACGCAGCCATGGGAACTAAGAAGTAGCATCTAAACATAACATATGAGAGGGTTGAATGATGCTGGATGGAGTCAGAGAATCACTTTGGTGCAAGTCTCACAAATACATCCCTTCTCTAGCTATTTAAATGCGGCATCTGCTATTACCTTTTAACTCTTGTATCGTGTTTTCCCCTCATATTAAAGATGATATACTAGGGTAGTTTTTCGAGAAATTGCTGAGATTTATCAAATTCATGGTTATATATAAATGGATAATTTTGTTTTTTAAGAATGAGTTTTATTCAGATGAAAAGTACCACCGTTATGAGACATATTTCCTTAACTATCAAATTTATCTTTGAGCAGCTAAACGCACTAATTACATACCATATAAGATGGTTGGCATTATATCAGAGGAAGACAGAAGAAAACTTTTGATTACAACTTAAGACAGTAAAATTCACATCCGTTTTAGTACTTTTGCTATTTATGTTCACCTCTTTTTGTAGACCCCCAAAATTTGGGATAAGCGTGTTGTTGTTGTTGTTGTGATGTTTTACTTCTTTTATCAGTTATTGGAGTCAAGCTTACATCTGAATTTTGTTGTTGTTGTTGTTGTTGTTGTGATGTTTTACTTCTTTTATCAGTTATTGGAGTCAAGCTTACATCTGAATTCTGAGGGGAGGTGGTTGCATAAATGATCTGAGTTAAAGTGGACTGTTGATTGGATCTACACCCTCGTACTACAAGTAGCTTAGCTTAACTTGTACTCTGTTGAAAGTTCTCCCTTCGACATGGACAAGATTTAGCAATGAAGGTACTAAGGCTTTGTGTATATTTGTGAAGCTTTATCTTTTGTCTCTTGTCGTTTACAGAAACCAAGAAAAAACAATCACTTTATCTCTTATAACTATGTCTTTTATAACTATGTTTATTCTACCCAGATAAGAAATGTTTTCTACTATGCCAAGAACAATCAGCTACCAGACAACCATTCTCTCTTTTCTTTTTGTTCAGTGGAAAATTGCAAAATCAAGAGATATAGTTTAAAGGTTTACTCATTGCCTAAGGTATTATTCTCTTCCTTTAAGCTTTTTAACCCATAAAGGAACTTCCTTTGAGCTTAATTTATTGAAAATTAAAAAAAAAATCCTCTTGAAATTTAATAATGCAAAGCTGTAAGCTTCCATTCTTTCTGAGCTTATATGCTTCTTTGGTTTTTATTCAATGGAATAGGGTTACTATTTTAATTTTTTGTATAACTACTTTTTTTTTTTTGTTAAAAGAATGACTTTAACCTTTTTTTCTTTATCTCCCCATGTCGGCAAATTAACCTACCACAAGCTATGTTTGGAATCAATAATAGAAAATACACGACAGTAAATCATATGGCAGAATGCGTCTCTACCTTTCTTGAGCTATTCAAATTCACCTTTCTCATGCTCTTTAATGACTTAAATTATGTAAAATAATCCCCCCAATGAGAAGCACTTACCATTGTCCAAACTCCAAAGCCAAACTTCTGTGAGACCCAATGAGAACTTATCATTATTTTTAGGAAAATGATTTAAGGACCCAAAATATGGGACCAAGGGAGGGGACAGGTGAGGTGTCCCATTCCTATTGCATAATGAGTTGGCATGGTCAACTCATTATGCAATAGGGATGAGACACCTCACTTGTCCCCTCCCTTAGTCCCATATTTTGGGTCCCCGTAGCAGCACTCTTATTTTTACACTCAAATCATGCAACCCTCTCGTCGTCCTCCTTATGGATTCCTTATGCCTTTATTATACAAAGAATGTGAATGTGTTTATGTCCCACCTTGCAAGTCGCAACTGTCCGCTTATGACTCTATCCTGTGAGGCCAGCCCCAGGGCAGCCTGGACGCCGCAGCCTGGCTCTAGATATGAATGTGAGCTGCTTAGTATGTAGTTCTTCTACACTGAAAAAAGTTTATATGGATATATTTTGGATTCATCTCAATAGTTAAGGTTTGTAGTTATGGCTGTAGTCTACAGTTTCTCAATATTGTGAGAAAATGTTGCACTGGCATAAATATTTACCATGATGATTTGGTTTTAATTTACAGCCAGGGGGCAAATCTTAGGTCTTGCTTATGACACCTGTGAAAAATAAATTGTTTGACGGCCAGCTTGTTTTCATAATTCTTGAAGAATCAGTTAAGGCTTATGTAGGGGTGATATGTTTGCCTGTAATTGTTAGTATTTGTATTGTGTAGTGAGGGCCTAAAGTACTCTGCAATTGAGGGATTTGCCTTTTGACTCTATCATTCACGGGAGAAATTCTTAGGTGCTCCATGGGCACCAAGCGGCATACACCACACTAATAGGAATAAGACTTGTAGCACAAGAAATATTATTTAATATCACTGTATTCTCTTTTTCATATAGTTTGTGCCACATGGCCTATTTCTATTGGTGTGATGTATGTCATGTTGTTATTAATTGAGCATCTAAGAATTTTTCCATTCACATGGACCTTCTGTCAGGACTGTATTTGTTTAGTTGATTTTCCAAAAACTAACAAAACAAGAAACCTGACAAAGAAACCATCTCAAGAGGTTTCAAGCGATTTCCTTGATTAAAAAAAAGGGCCTCCTAGAGTTGGAGTCAAATAAGGGGCTGTTCGTTTGGCAAAAAAAAGTGGGAAATCAAAAAATAGGAAACCTATTTCCTATTATAATTATTTTGAAGTTGTTTGGTTGGCTTAAAAAAGAAGGAAATTATAGAATATGAGATGAGATGAGATGAGTTGTCGCCTTATTATTGGATGATGTGAGTGATTTTTAAAAAAACTTGTTTTGAGGTTGTTTGGTTGGTTAAAAAATAAGGAAATGAATTGGAGGTATATTATTGGATGATGTTTTGAGGTTGTTTGTGTTTGGTTCGTTTTTAAAAATAAGAAAATAGATGAGATGAGATGAGTTGGAGGTATATTATTGGATGATGTGACACGTACTTAAGGAAATTGATTACTTGTTTTTTTTTTGAGGAAATGGATGGAAATGAATGTTTAATGAGATGAGATGAGTTGTCACAATATTATTGGATGATATGTGTGATTTTTAAAAATGAGATAAAATGAGATGTGATGAGTTGGATACTTGGATGATGTGACACATTTCTTGTGTTTGGTTTATTTTTAAAGGTAAGAAAGGAGATGAAATGAGATGAGTTGGAGGATAAAAATAATATTTTATTGGATGTTGTGGGTGAGTTTTAGGAATGGAAATGGATAAAAATATTATTTTATTGATTTCCTTGTACCGATTTTCTTTTCTTGGTTTTTAGGAAACCAACCAAACAGCCCCTAAACCAATGAGAGGTGCCACTTCACCCTTCCTCTTGGTTTCACTTGGTTTCAAAGTGCGAAACCAAACCAAAGAAAAAGAAAACTTTATAGAAAATTTTTCTTATAATGGTGTTTTCTTCTTTTGTGGCCAACCAAACAGGCCACACTTTTGACTCTCAAGTCTCCACAACAGCTCTTAGATGTGGTGATACGTATGAGGAACCAGATGTATAGTGATATTGTCCATATTTATGATGACTCACACAGAAGGTGTGAGAAGTTTCAAAAGCTCAGAGGCCATTCAAAACCCTCACTGTTAACTGGAAGTCTAAACAATCACCCAGCTCCCCTCCATCTTTCAGAGGACTAAACATGGGGATATGTCTCTTATTACTATCTTTTGCAGGGTCACTGATCTCCTCCAATGCAGGATCAAGCTCATTCTCCTTTGAAGATAATTTTGATATAATGTGGGCAGAAGACCATTTCAAAACTTCTTCTGATGGTCAAGTCTGGTATCTCTCCCTCGACAAGCAAACAGGTCTACATCTAAACTGCTTCGAAAACCGATATCTTATGTACATTGTTCCCACCATTTGAATGGAGTTATGTATACAGGCTGTGGATTCCAAACAAAACAGAGATATAGATTCGGGTGGTTCAGCATGAAGCTGAAGCTGGTAGGTGGCGACTCTGCTGGTGTTGTCACGGCTTATTATGTAAGTGATCAGGACTCGTCACGAAAAAGCCATGTATGAAGAAATATGTTATGATCCTAACTTATTTCTTTCGATTGATCTGATGAGTACAGATGTGCTCGGACTTGGATGCCGCGCCAGAGAGGGACGAGCTAGATTTTGAGTTCTTGGGGAATAGAAGTGGGGAGCCATATACAGTCCAAACCAATGTATATAAGAGCGGTGTTGGTGGGAGAGAGATGAGGCACATGCTTTGGTTTGATCCAACTGAAGATTTTCATACCTACTCCATCCTCTGGAACAACCACCACATAGTGTGAGTACTCTCATTTTTCCTGATTTTGATTTATTTACTTATTTTTTGTTTAAATAAGTAAAGAGTAGGAACTGATGGTTTGGAATTTGGACATTGGGAGAATTAAACTGGGAATCATCAAATGTTTGATAGAAAATCTTGGGAGTTCAACTATTATTTGTGTTGGCAATCACGTGCCCAACATGATGCATTCTGCAACGTACGTCTTCAACAGGAATGCAGTAGGAAAGAAACCTTTTTCCAATCACACGCTCAACATTACGAGTTTTTAATATTGTCAGTGAGATGCTAAAGAAATTGACACTCTGCACATCTCTGTATATAAATTTACCGAGAGCATCAAGCGTTTGAAATGTATCTCCCCATTGGCACAGTTAAAATTACTTATATTAGGACTTATTTCAGATACATCGGTCCTATCATAGGGGGTTAGCCACATATTAGCTCAGAACTTTTAACACTCAGACTCTCTGATGCCAAAACAGATTTATTTCTCCTTTATTTGCTCTTGTACCATATCCGCTATGTTCAATACCTATAACAGAACAAGGAGTCTCTCCGCAACAAAAATATCGGCGGAGCTCTCAGATGTCACATGACATGCAAGTAGCATGTATGAGTGACGGAGAGATATTATTGTTTTGAGGTGGTGCTAATAGAAAAGTTTAGAGATAATAAACTGTCAATCTCCATGGTAGAAAAAAGTATGTGCTGCAAACCTTTATTCTTACATTATCGCAGGTTCTTTGTAGACAGAGTCCCCATCAGGGTATACAAAAACAATGGCAAACCGAACAACTTCTTCCCCAATGAGAAGCCAATGTACATGTTCTCCAGCATATGGAACGCCGACGACTGGGCCACTAGAGGAGGTCTCGAGAAGACAGACTGGAAGAACGCTCCCTTTGTTTCCAGTTACGAGGACTTCAATGCAGATGGCTGCCAATGGAAGGTCCCTTATCCGTCTTGTGTCTCAACCACCACCGAGAACTGGTGGGATCAGTATGAGACATGGAACCTTGCTGATGACCAGCAAGAAGATTTCGGTTGGGTTGGAAGGAACCTTGTTATTTATGATTACTGCAAGGATACTGACAGGTTTCCTGCATTACCAGAAGAGTGTAGCCTTTTAGATTAAGGCCCATTGGAGATGATAAAATGAAGGAGAAAACTGTTTTGTGTGATTTCACCAAAGTATAGGCTAAATGATTCTTGAGTATTCGGTCATTATATATGTATATTTGTTAAGTTTGTGTATCAGTTGGTTTGATTGAGAGGAAGCCTTAGTGATTTCATTCCTGGAGACTAACATTTTGTTCGAAGTCGGTTGGTTGTTCACCAAACCAT